CACGAGGGCAGTAAATGTGTGGTCCGTTTTCGTCCGTAAACGTACGGGTTTGTACCAACGTCTCGGTCCCAATTTCCCCTTAGGCCGAAGACCGCCTTGGTCCCGAAACGTAACCGTGGGTGTTACTAACTTTTAGGGTGTCCCGGTAACGCTAACTTTGAAGAGAACTGTCCGGGACTTGCATTCTAGGGTGTAGGTCAGACACTACACATTTAACTGTCTGCGGGCACACTTTCCAGTAGTTTATGTAGATTAAATAACAACTACCACACATGGACTTCCGACTAATTATAGGTGGACTTGGTCCGACAGTTTGCTAATGTTAAATTAGTCTAATTGTCAATTTTAATTTTGGTTACTAATTTAGTACGTTTGATACGGTTTTTTACGAAAAGAAATACATCTACACCCTACCTTTCTATTTACTTTCTTCCGCCTATGTATGGTAAAGTTGTATGTCATAGTCCCCTTTTTTCATCAAACGGTCGGTGGTTAAACCGTTCCAGGGAGGGTGAAAATTTGATTCTCTCAGGACATTAAAGTAGGATTCTATGGTAGTTGTCTCTCTGTTTACTTTTTTTTTTAGGTCTTTTAGTGAACAGCTAAATTTCTGAATAAACGTTTAATCCACCTTTTATTCATTAACAGTTATTGTTTTCAATTAGAGTTATGAACATTATATGGGCCACCGTTCGCTGTCTCCACGTTTGCAATAAGCATTCAGAGTGTTCCCAAGGTGTGTGACACGCTAACGGGTAAGGGTCGTTCTAGAGGAGATCTGTACTAAAACCCGACAGCACCCGTTGTGGTCTGAGTTGAGGGAGAGTTTCTAAGTACCACTCTAGACCTTGAAAACTCCTGAAAAACGAGTAAACCAGAGAGTATAATCCATATGGATCCTACTTTTTAATGTCCGGACAGGAGTATAAAATTCACCTATTGAACGTGTTACCACCGACTGATTTATGAAAAGGGGGTGCCATACATACAATAAATATTGTAACGATAGACCAGTTTTACTTTCTGTCGTGTGTGATGGATAGTTTAGTAGTTTGGGTACCCACAGAATAACGTATGCCAACTAGATAGTTTTTTCGTTTTCTAAGGGAAGTCCTTGAAGGCGTTGTTGTGGTGCGGCAAAGACTAGACTACCGGTCTTTTAAATAGTTTTCTACAAGATAACTCTTCATGCTAGCTGATGCACTGTATTCAAAAAAGTTTTGGCCGATACAGAAGCATAAGCTGGTTTCACATATGCAAACACACAAAACTTCTCAAGTAAAGAATGATTAGACGCAGACACGTTACATGGTCGACGTTCTACACGAAACTGAAAAATACTAGAATGAAATTGTACTTCAAATTAATCCACCGATCGGTAGAAGTCATATTACCGCCATCGGATCGGTCGCGGACGGTGACACTACATCACCCAAACCCGCACGGTAAGACGTGTAATCGCAAATACGCAATTATAAACAAATTGCGTTAATAATTTTTTTTATTAATGAAACCAAAAAACAACAACGGCAATTTGCTATTCAAACTGTCGTAATTACTTTGGTACTGGTTCTCTAATGACCTTTGGTAGACATGAGTCGTAGTTGTATTTCGTAATGTTGTCGTTTCAATTTCGACGTCTAGCTCTCCGTTTGTTTGTCTGTCATCTAACGATCATAATACGCTTAGGCTTAGGAAATAAACGAGTGTTGCCCCTGTAAACCATATTGTTGTCGTCTATTGTACTATTTCACCTCCTCGGTCTACATGTACTTGAGTAACAACATGCAGTGGTGTATGGGAGAGTAGGGACTTAATGAGGGCCTTGGTTTTCCTTGGTACTTTACTTCTGGGCCCGTAGGACTAGTAGGTAAAAAGTCCCGGGGAGACGTTGACGGTAACTGGAGTGGGATTAGTAATTCCTATCTTTGACATTCTTGTTTGTACATTAAATAACTTGTATCGTACGTATCTCTCCTTCCTTATTGTTAGTCCCTATAGTTTATGGCCACGTCTTAGTCAACTCGGTCGAGCTGTCGTAACGTTGTACTCACAAAATAATATAACCTTGTTCATCTTGGGACGTTCCCACTATTAGGTCGACCGAACGGGTAGTTACTAGGAATAGTCTGTATTCAGCGACAAACAATATTTTATATGACTTTCTGTGGAAAAAAAATATTATAGTCCACTATTTGGTTTAGTAACAAAGTCTGGAAAACGTCGGTCGGATGAAGGTCCGACTTTCTGGGTTGGTTTTAAACTTGGATTCCTCCTACCTACCAAAATGTAACTTATAGAGATTGAGTTCCCA